AAAAAAAGTACTCACCTTTCCGCTTCTTTACTTTATTTTCTTTACAAGGACTATCTCTTGGTGAACTGTTGTTACTTGGAGCTGTCAAATCGATTCCTAGCAAACTATAAAGTTTTTTCCTGTCTGGAGCAGGAAAATGTTTTTCAATAAGAGACTGCAACACACCTCTGTAGGAGAGAAAAAGCAACAAATTAACAATTACTGCTTCAGTTGACAAAATAATTATATGTAAAGTCTTATGAAACAGATCGAAATACACCTTCAGTTTTACAAAATACTGATAAACGAGCTCAAATAAATTTTAATTTTCTAGCTCAAGGCTGTCCAACTAAATAAGAATGCAAGTCAAACTACATACATAATTATAAAAATTATTATATTTTCTAGTAGCTTACATTAAAAAGTAGGAAAAAAAAACTGGTGGAACTAAGTTTAGTAATTCATTTTATTTAACTCAAATATACCATAGCAACACAAGTTTTACATTATCAGGAGTCTTTGAAACCTGGCTTAGTACACACATATAGCACTTCAATATGGACTAGTCATTTCAACTGCTCAATAGCCACATGTGATGAGTGACTGCCATTACAGACAGGGTAGTTCTGGGCAATTATGTACAGAAAAATATATATTAGCAGATGTATGCATTTTTTTGTTTTTCTGAGATGGAGTCTTGCTGTCGTCCAGGCTAGAGTGCACTGGTGCGATCTCAGTTCACTGCGACCTCCACTTCCTATGTTCAAGCAAATCTCTGCCTCAGCCTCCTGGGTGGCTGGGATTACTGGCATCCACCTCCAGGCTCAGTTAGCTTTGGTATTTTTACAAGAGACAGGGTTTCACCAGCTTGGCCAGGATGGTTTTAAACTCCTGACCTCATGATCCACCTGCGTTGGCCTCCCAAAGTGCTAGGATTATAGGCATGAGCCACCATGCCTGGTCAACTTTTTTTTTTTTTTTTTTTTTTTTTTTGAGATGGGAGTCTTGCTCTTGTTGCCTAGGCTGGAGTGCAATGGTACAATCTTGGCTCACTGCAACCTCTGCCTCCCAAGTTCAGGCAATTCCTCTCAATGTGCCCAGTAGCTGGGATTACAGGTGCCTGCCATCATGCCTGGCTAATTTTTGTATTTTTAGTAGAGACGGGGTTTCACCATGTTGGCCAGGCTGGTCTCAAACTCCTGACCACCAGTGATCTGCCTCCCAAAGTGCTGGGATTACAGGAGTGAGTCCTATGTTTTGCTTTTAAAAGGAGCATTTGAATGCATCTCAAGGCACAAAATAGTGAAGTGGCAAGTTTACTTTGCTTAATTTACTACCGAGTTAGAATTTGCAGGTTAAGCAAACTAAAACAACACCTAAAACATTGCAGGCATTGTTTTTTGAAGATCTCATGCTTAATTCTCAACTTGTAAAGTAGAGTTGCTTTTTCTTTTTTTTCTGAGATAGGGTCTCACTCTACCACTCAGACTGGAGTGTAGTGGTGCAATCTCAGCTCACTGGAACCTCTACCTCCTGGGTTCAGGAAATTCTCCTAACTCAGCCTCATGGGTACCTGGAACTACAGGGCGAGTGCCACCAGGCCCAGCTAATTTTTGTATTTTTGGTAGAAATGGGATTTTGCCATGTTGGCCAGGCTGGTCTCGAACTGACCACCTCAGCCTCCCAAAGTGCTGAGATTACAGGTGTGAGCCACCACGCTCAGCCAACGTATAAAAGAGACTTCATTATATTAGGACAAACTATAGTTACTGATCCTGCGGATAATGGTAATTTCAAATACAGAATGCTAAAACTGAAACTAAACCAAGCTGTCACACATTTCCAACATGTACAAGACAAACAAAATCAAGCCCTTCTGTTAAGTCATATACTCTGTGTAATACTGGCAAAATGCTTAACATTTGAGGATTATGAGATTTCTGTTACTGTTTTCTAATAAATACACTGTTACAGAAAAGCACATTCCAAATACTCAGATCAAGAAAACTTAAAGATTATGTAGGTGAATCAAAAGTTTTGTCTCCAGGAAATGCCCACATTGGAACCAATCTAAGAAAGAACTCAAAAAGAAAAACAAAAACATTACTTGGCAGTTGAAACAAAATCATTCAATTCTCCCCCGCCCTCTTCCAAAGCTTCTAATGTTCTAGCTTCTCCTGTAGACTGTAGACCAATTACAACACACTGGAGAAAAAAAAGAAAACATGTTAGTTACAAATAATAATGTTTGTGGCTTCTTACCAAGACATATTTTAAATATTTAGCTAAACAAAAATTTCAAACAACAATGTCCTCATTATTATAAAACACACATTCGTTTTAGTTATTTCTTCTGTATATTTGAGACAGGTTATGTGTCAAAACCTTACGCAGGAGACAGAATTACAAACAGTAGTAAGCATGAGTGGAGTCCCTGCGTTGCAGAGTTTGTAGTACCTAATGCTTTAAGTAGATATTCACCAAAAGAAAAAACCTTAATGCAATACACATCCATATGTTACTAGTGGTATCAGCTACAGATGACCAATAATAGTGATGTTTACTTTGTTATACTTTTCTGAGCTCTCTAAATTCTCCAAGCAGGCATTTCCTTTATAACTTTAAGAAATTTATTTTTTAGGAAAACCAGATTTTACAAGCAGAAAAACCTCAGCATCCACAAAAACTAAGCAATATAACCCAAAAACAATGAATTTCTTAATGAGTTATTTGACTTACTTTTCCATTCTTGATTTCCTCTCGAGCTAGTTGCACAACCCTTTTAACTTTGGATGCTATACATAAGTATTTGAAAAACCTCTGATGAGCAGACCAGAACTGACCCCACATGGACTTCTTCATTCGTTGTTCGGCATCAATCAGATCTGCAGCTTGCTGAAACCGCTCTCTGGCGATGACCCACTGAAGATACACAAACAACATTTTAGACATTTCATCTTTGAGTGTAGTTATTTAAAAATATCAATTAAATCAAAATAATGTCAAGTTCAAGGCCATTTAATATTAACCTAATAAATCATCTTTAGTAACTTGGAATTTATTTCTCAGGATGCACAGTTGTCTCAAGTTTCTTATTATCTAATGCAGTCATTTTAGGAAATAATGTGATTTTTAAAGCTATGCAACTGAAATAAATGACTATAATTTATGAATTACCTTAACAAAATGAAAACTTCGAAAATCTGAAATATAAGAACATTGGTCAGGCCAGGTGCAGTGGCTCATGTCTATAATCCCAGCACTTTGGGAGGCCGAGGGCAGGCGGATCCCTTGAGCCCAGGAGTTCCAGACCAGCCTGGGCAACACTGTAAAACCTTGTCCCTACCAAAAAACATAAAACTAGCCAGGCATGGTGGTGCACGCCTGCAGTCCCTCCTACTCAGGAGGCCAAGATGGGAGCACTGCTTGAACCTGCGAGGTGAGGGTTGCAATAAGCTGAGATCACACCATTGCACTCCAGCCTAGGCAACAGAGTGAGAGACCCTGCCACAAACAAAAAAACTACATTGGTTAAACAGTGTATCATCTGTTTGTTTTTTTTTAAATTCTGAGATGGAGTCTCCTTGTCGCCCAGGCTGGAGTGCAGTGGTGCGATCTCAGCTCACTGCAACGTCCACCTCCTGGGTTCATGCGATTCTCTTGCCTCAGTCTTCCCAAGTAGCAGGGACTACAGGTGCAGGCCACCATGCCTAGCTAAACTTTTTTGTATCTTAGTAGAGATGAGGTTTCACCATGCTGGGTAGTCTTGAACTCTTGACCTCAGGTGATCCACCCACCTACCTCAGCCTTCCAAAGTGCTGGGATTACAGGTGTGAGCCACTGTATAAGGCCTCATTTGTTGTTTTATAGCAGAATTACATTCCCATGGGCAGGAGGCATTACAATTGCCAAACCGAACAGACACATTATGAGATACATAAAATAAACACTAGGAATTAAGAAAAATTCCTCACCAGCTTGACTGCTTTGTTATACATTTTTACATAGCTCTGAGAAAGAAGAACTTCTTCAATTTTGAAGGTCACTCCAGTAAAGCTCAGCTGTCGAGCAATGTACATTCCTCTAAGCTTCATATCCATAGCAACTATTTCCATGGCACCAACTCCTCTGAATAAAATTAAAACATAGAGTAACTACCAATAAAGTAGAACTTTAACATACAGAGAACGAGCTACAGGAGTAATACATTTCTTAGATTGCTACTGAGAACAGTATATACCATAAACTGCATTACCTCCGTTCTACTGCTTGAATAAAATCACTGAATTCTCTAAATGGAGTACCCTCACCCCATATGCCAAGACGGTTCATATAGGCCATGTTGCGTGGTTCAGAAGCGCCTGAAAAACCCACAAATGAAATAAATTATAGTTGAAAAAATAACCTGCAATGTATGTTTTTAAATAAATAACTACTCACCAGTTGCACTAGCATAAACAACTCTGGCTTTTGGCAATTTGTTCTGAAGCTCTAAGACAGCTAAGCCTGTCTTGGTTGGCTTTGAAGAACCAACAGGACATAAGTTTTTTGCTTTATGACACTCATCAAACACTATCTAAATGGAATGAATTAAGGAATGTATCACATTAGTATTAAGTGTCTCTGATCTTTCAAGAAAAGTTAACTTTTATTCCAAGGCCTTCTGATTGTCTACTTTATGACTGCAAATATAAAAGAAGTCCTACGTGCTTTTCCCCAGTTACATCCTCCTCCCTCTCAGGCCTCAAAGGCATTCACTGAATTTGGAATTTATCTAAACCAGATATTTGCTTTTAAAGTAAAACAGAGAAAATAACCCACTGTAGTAAGAAGTTATTATTTGGTAACTTGTGTAAATAGAAGCATGATTGGTAACCAATTTAAGCAGCATTTCAAAGAGTGGTGTTTCTCAAGCAAGACAGTTAGGAGATATGCTGTGAACAAGGAAGTCTGGGCCCACTAAGTTCTAACAGTGTTCTTTCCCTTAGTCTTTTCAGGTATTTTGCTATGTAAATATGCAATGTTAATCCCCAAAGGGGGAATACAGTATTCAGCATTCCTCATAGCTATTAACATTTTTCTAAACCAGGAGGTTAAATACTGGTCTCCTAACAGGTAAAAAAACAGAATTAACTTTCCAATCCCTTTGGATATTCTAGCTTATCATTAAAGTTTTCACTCCAGCAGTTCATTTAATCTTAGGATTCCTGTTTCCCAAAGGTCTCCCCTTTTATAATTTTGCTGTCATTAAAAAATACAAAAATATTTTCGGTAAAGGATACCACTCCATCGAAGTCATCACCGCACCAATGTAGAAGTTGTTTTAACCTAGTTTTATACTTGCCACCAGACTGGCTTTCACCAATAAGTGAAGAGTATGTAGCAAAAATAACACCCTTTTTCACACTCCCATTATGTTTGGAAGAAATTTTTCCATATTTAAACTAAAAGAAAGAAAAGAGAAGAATTTAATTAGTATACCTTTCTCTCTGAAACATTTATCCCTATCAAACATTCACAAGCAGCAACTCTTGTTAGGCCCATAACAGGCTTCAGAAAACACAAAAGTACAAAGAGACACACATTTTTTGTATAGATATATACAACACAAGCACTCAACTTTATAGTACAAAAATCCAGTTTTTGGTAGGGGACAGTGGCTCAGGCCTGCAATCCCAACACTTCAGGAGGCCGAGGTAGATACATCGCTTGAGCTCAGGATTTCAAGACCAGCCTGGCCAACATAGTGAAACCCCATCTCTCTATAAAAAACACAAAAATTGGCCAGGCATCATGACACATTCCTATGGTCCCAGCTACTCCAGAGGCTGAAGTTGGAGAATTGCTCGAGCCTGGAAGACGGAGGTTGCAGTGAGCTGAGATCGCGCCACTGCACTCCAGCCTAGATAAGAGTTGAGATCGTGATAAGAAAAAAAAAAAAAAATCCAGTTTTCAAAGTCTTAAAAACTTCATCACCAAGAATACTGAAAACCAGACAAACTCCCCCATAAGAAAAAATGTCACAATTTACAAGTATTTATTGTGCACTTACTATATGCAAAACACCATGATTAATTTCTGAGGGATATATAAGAATTGAGCTGGGTGCGGTGGCTCAAGCCTGTAATCCCAGCACTTTGGGAGGCCGAAGCGGGTGGATCACGAGGTCAAGAGATCAAGACCATCCTGGTCAACATGGTGAAACCCCATCTCTACTAAAAATACAAAACATTAGCTGGGCATGGTGGTGCATGCCTGTAATCCCAGCTACTCAGGAGGTTGAGGCAGGAGAAATGCCTGAACCCAGGAGGCGGAGGTTGCGGTGAGCCGAGATCACGCCATTGCATTCCAGCCTGGGTAACAAGAGCGAAACTCCGTCTCAAAAAAATAAAAAAAAAAAAAAAAAAAAAAAAAAAAAAAAATTGAGTAATTGGCTGGGCGCGGTGGCTCACGCCTGTAGTCCCAGCACTTTGGGAGGCCAAGGCAGGCGGCTCACGAGGTCAAGAGATCGAGACCATCCTGGCCAACATGGTGAAACCCTGTCTCTAGTAAAAATACAAAAAAAAAATTAGCTGGGTGTGGTGGTGCACGCCTGTAATCCCAGCTACTCAGGAGGCTGAGGCAGGAGAATTGCTTGAACCTGGGAGGTGGAGGTCGCAGTGAGCCAAGGTTGCGCCACTGCACTCCAGCCCGGTGACAGAGTGAGACTCTGTCTCCAAAAAAAGAATTGAGTAATTATTAATGTGCCCTTCTAATACTACTCTGAATTAAAAAAACATTTCTAGGTGCCAGTTGCATGCTTTTAGTTCTGAAATGCATAAAGTCATTCGAGACACCAGTACTTTATAGCTACAAATCCATCCAGTAAAACCCATCCTAACAAGCCACTGATGAGCAGGGCAACACTGAATTCAACTTAGGACTCACATGGGAAGTAGATTTACAGTTACCTATTTCCAAATAATTACTAGCGGGGCACTTCCAGGAACCATATCAGTCTATTTTAACCTTAACACCAACAATTGGTTCATGTATAGTATAGTAGGTCAAGAAAGATTTGCTAAATGAATTTTAACACTTTTTTTTTTTATTTGAGATGGAGTCTCGCTCTGTCACCCAGGCTGCAGTACAGTGGGACAATCTGAGCTCACTGCAACTTCTGCCTTCTGGGTTCAAGCAATTCTCCTAACTTAGCCTCCGGAGTAGCTAGGATTACGAGCGCACACCACCACGCCTAGCTCATTTTTGTATTTTTAGTAGAAACAGGGTTTCAATATCTTGGCCAGGCTGGTCTTAACTGCTGACCTCACGATCCACCCACCTCAGCCTCCACAAAGTGCTGGGATTACAGGCGTAAGCCACAGCACCCAGCCTTAATTTTTGTTATTTTTAGTAGGGACAGGGTTTCAACATGTTGGTCAGGCTGGTCTCAAACTCCTGATCTCAGGTGATCCACCTGCCTGTGCCTCCTAACATGCTGGGATTACAGGCATGAGCCACCATGTCCAGTACTGAATCTTAACATTCTGAAACACACTAGCATACATTTTCTTTCACCTTACAAAATTGTGTTCATGTGAGAAGAGGTACGGGTAACTCAAGTCTATTAGCTGTACAAATACAAATACCAGTCTGCCCAAGCCATAACTACCTACACCACACAGGATTTGGTGAACTATAGTGCAAGGTATGCCACCTATCTACACTGCATCTTTATGGCACGTAAACTTTCAAAAGAAAGACAAAAATAGCACTGATTATTGAGAAAATCAACTGGTGTGCACTGTACACCTATAGCACATCTCAATTTGGAGTGGTCATTTATACTGCTCAACAGCCACATGTCATGAATGGTTACTGCTTGTCACAGTGTTTAGCACACAGGAATCCACAAACCAACAAATGGCTGCACTCACTATGCTTTTTGTGGAGTAACATAAAAACCAAAAGTTGTCCAAAGTTTTCCCTTATATAGATATCTCATAGTTGAGTCAATATTTACTGAATAACCAACTGAATAAAAAGCTTTCATACCTTATTTAATGAATGAACCAAAATGTTTTTTGCTCCAATATCCCTTAAATCTCTTTCAGCATCATATTTTAAATCATTTGAAACACTAAACCTGCCAAAATAAAAAAAGCACAAATTAAATACAAATTATGTAATTATGGAATTCAGGAATAAATAAAGCCTGGTCGTGACACTTAAAACAAAAAATAAAAAAAACCCTACTCATTAAAACTCATCTCAAAAATCAGGCACGGTGGCTCATGCCTGTAATCCCAGCACTTAGGGAGGCTGAGGCGGGTGGATCACGAGGTCAGGAGATTGAGACCAACCTGGCTAACATGGTGAAACCCCGTCTCCACTAAAAATACAAAAAATTAGCTGGGCATGGTGGTGCGCACCTGTAGTCCCAGCTACTCAGGAGGCTGAGGCAGGAGAATCACTTGAGCCCCAGAGGTAGAGGCTGCAGCGAGCCATGAATGTGCCATTGCACTCCAGCCTGGGTGACAGAGACCCTGTCTTGATCAGGAGGGGGAATCTCATCCCCACATGCTAAAGTAATTATTCACTAATAAAAGCTTCTGAGGCCAATTTTTAAACACTTACCACAATGCTCGTTTTCTACTCAACAAATAATTTTCATAGATGATTCCTGCTATCGTTCTTCCTTTTCCTACACCAGCACCATCACCTATTAAGAAGCCAGCACGATCTCCATTAGGTAGAAAAGTTTCATGTTGCTGAAAAACAAAAGGCTAGTAATTAATATAATCCTTTAGGTATTTTAGTGATCAATCTTTCATACACTATTTTACAAATATATTGATGTTATCTGTCTTTTGTTTTGTATACATATTTTGTAACATTATTTATTTTTACTTAAAGTTCATGCAGTTTGGCTTTTAATGTGGATACTTTCTACATATTTAATACATATATATATATATATATATATATTTTTTTTTTTTTGAGACAGAGTTTCGCTCGTTACCCAGGCTGGAGTGCAACGGCGCGATCTCGGCTCACCGCAACCTCCGCCTCCTGGGTTCAGGCAATTCTCCTGCCTCAGCCTCCTGAGTAGCTGGGATTACAGGCATGCGCCACCATGCCCAGCTGATTTTTTTGTATTTTTAGTAGAGACGGGGTTTCACCATGTTGACCAGGATGGTCTCGATCTTTTGACCTCGTGATCCACCCGCCTCGGCCTCCCAAAGTGCTGGGATTACAGGCGTGAGCCACCGCGCCCGGCCATATTTACTATATATTATCTCCTGCTACTCTCCCAAGTACCAGGTAACTAAAGTTAACAAATTGGTGAGGAGCCCACCATACATACCCCTATCAACACTTGCAGAATCAAATAAGAAGTTTTTTTGTTTTCTTTTTGACACAGAGTCTCACTCTGTCGTCCAGGCTGGAGTGCAGTAGCACTATCTCGGTTCACTGCAACCTCCACCTCCTGCGTTCAAGTGATTCTCCTGCCTCAGCTTCCTGAGTAGCTGGGACTACAGGCGTGCACCACCACGCCCAGCTAATTTTTCTATTTTTAGTAGAGACAGAGTTTCATCATGTTGGCCAGGCTGATCTCAAACTCCTGACCTCAGGGTGATCCATCTGCCTCAGCTTCCCAAAGTGCTGGGATTACAGGCATGAGCCACCATGCCCAGCCAAATTAAAAGTTTTACATCACACAAAATATAAAGTTAAATGCCTATTTTGGTTATTACTTATTTTACAGATACAGAGTATGATTGAAATCATTTCAAGACCACAGTTTAACTCTATCTCACATCGTTTTAAAAGCCCACACAACACCTCACAGTCCAATAATATGACAGTTTATACAATCATCCCCCAACAATGTGGATGCTCAAATCTTTTCCAGCTGGGGGGAACAAAAGGTATAACAAATATCCTTCTGCATATGTTCCAACAGTTCTAGGCAGCACACTCCTAGGAATGGACATATACACACACACATATATATATATCTAACTTTTTTTTTTTTTTGAGAAAGAGTCTCATTCCTATCACCCAGGCTGGAGTGACAAGATCATGGCTCATTACAGCCTCAACTTCCCAAGCTGAAGTGATTCTCCTACCTCAGCCTCTCAAGAAACTGGAACTATAGGCCCACACCACTACACCCAGCTAATTTTTTGTATTTTTAGTAGAGATGGTGTTTCACCATGTTACCGTCTTGAATTCCTGGCCTCAAGCAATCTGCCCATCTCAGCCTCCCCAAGTGCTGGGATTGCAGATATGAGCCACCGTGCCCAGCCAATGTACACATTTTTAATTTTAATAGATAGTCCCAGTAAATTCCAAGAAAGTTATTACATTTGCCATTTCCACTAGAAATACACTATCTGTGTCTCTGCTATACTTCTAAATTTAGTTTTCCAAGACGTAAAACGTTCATAAAAATCACATTTACAAGCTTTTCATGCAAGGAAAAATTACCTTTAGATTGAAACAACTGTTATCTAGAATAGGATTAAATAATAATTACATTAATTATGAAATATTATTGCTTACCTGGGCTGCATATGTAATTGCCTCAAGCTGTAATGCTGATAACCAGCCATTATCAATGGTTTCCTCAGAAATCGATGTTTTGTACCAAACATCAGGAGGAGTAACACTGGATAAAGAGCTAGTTTCCACTACAGCATCTGGGTGACGTAGGCCAATTTTTACTAAATAAAAATTTAAAAATAATTATTGCAAGTAATAACATTGCTAGTTTCATTACCGGCTATTGCAATATTTTTCCTATAACAAAGAAAACTAGAAAGTATTTACTCTGGACTTCTATAAAAAGTCACTGATGATAAAGTACTATCCATATTTGACTAAAATGATTTATAAACTACATATGGTTAAAAGAGACTTGGGCCAGACAGGTGGCTCATGCTGGTAATCCCAGCACTCTGGGAGGCCGAGGTGGAGGGACCACTTGAGGTCAGGCGTTCGAGACCAACCTGGCCAACACAGCAAAACCCTGTCTCTATTAAAAATACAAAAATTAGTTGGGCATGTTGGTACATGCCTATAATTCCAGCTTACTCAGGAGGCTGAGGCAGGAGAATTGCTTGAACCCGGCAGGCAGAGGTTACAGTGAGCTGAGATTGCGCCACTGCACTCCAGCCTGGGAGACAGAGCAAGACTCCGCCTCAAGAAAAAAATAAAACAACCAAGTCTCCCAAATATACAACATGAATATATTAAAATAATGATCTGGCAGCTTTTTCTGTAAAGGATCAGAGAATGATTTTGCCTTTTTAGGCCATTCTGTCTCGTATAACTACTTAACATTGCTGTTACAGTGTCAATGCAGCCACAGAATAAATAAATCAATTAATATGTCTACTTTCCAATAAAACTATTTACTATAAAAGAGGGTGTGGTCCAGATTCAGTGTGCTGTCCTCTGGCTTAAAGCGCCATAAACTCTTTTTTTTTTTTTTTTTTTGAGAGGGAATCTTGCTCTGTCACCAGGCTGGAGTACAGTTGCGTTATCTCAGCTCACTGTAACCTCTGCCTGCCGGGTTCAAGCAATTCTCCTGCCGCAGCCTCCCTAGTAGCTGGGACTACATGCATAAGCCACCACGCCCAGCTAGTTTTTGTATTTTTAGTAGAGATGGGATTTCACCATGTTAGCCAGGATGGTCTCGATCTCTTGACCTTGTGATCCACCCACCTCAGCCTCCCAAAGTGCTGGGATTACAGGCATGAGCAACCACATCCAGCCCCAACTCTTTCAATCTGTTTGCAAAATGATTATTAGTTACGGGAGAAAGAAAACAGAAGTTCAGCTAGGCCCCCTAAAACTCATTATACATGACCAGAAAAGAATGATGGAATCTTGGAGTCTATCAGTAGTTGATAAAAAGAGAATTACAGTTCAAGTCAAATAGTATTATTAGTGGCTTTCTTTTTTTTTTTTGAGATGCAGTCTCAATCTGCAGCCCAGGCTAGCATGCAGTGGCATGATCTCGGCTCACTGCAACCTCTGCCTCCTGGATTCAAGGGATTCTCCTGCCTCAGCCTCCCGAGTAGCTGGGATTACAGGCATGTGCTACCACGCCCGGCTAATTTTTTTTGTATTTTTAGTAGAGACATGGTTTCACAGGTTGCCAGGTTGGTCTCGAACTCCCAACCTCGTGATCCACCTGCCCTGGCCTCCCAAAGTGCTGGGATTACAGGTGTGAGCCACCACACCTGGCCTATTACTGGCTTTTTACAGAAACCAGTACTATGTGAAAGACAAATTCTAGACACAGATTTGTTTCCTATAATAAAAAAGTGAAAATATTATGCAAATACTAAAAACCTAATTTTCGACTTCATATAGTGGCTGCAAAAAACAAAAATCATGGTTATACAAAAGGGAGAAACAAAGTTAATTAAAAACTATAGAATTGAAATAGCACAAATCATTTTTATAATTTCAATGTTTTTACAATTTTAGACAAGCTACATATAATATAAATATGTATCATAGCTTTATACATCTCTACAATTAGCTTTGATATTTATAATCACTACTTCTATGAACAAAATTAACTTAAAATAAAATCCAAGGTTCTTTAGTTTGAATTTTAAAAGACTTTGACCAAAAACAAGGTTCTAATTTACATGGAAAAAAACAATAAAACAAAGCAACACAAAAAGAACCAAACAAAAAATAAAAAATAAAACACAAAAATAAAAAATAAAAAAAAACTTTGATGTAAGTATTTGAGAAATCCCAAAGACTTACATTTTATTGGCATGTACTCTGCATAGGTTTCTGCATGACCCATTTCTTCTTCGTCTTCTTCCTCTGGTTCGTCATCTTCTTTTATAACAGGGACCTTCTGCAACTTAGAAAGACCACAAGAGCACAATCAATCCCAAATCCAGGGACAAAACACCCAGCCAACACATAGAAAAACTCTCCTGTAGGAACGCCTACCATCTTCCATTATGGAAATACAATGTGCCACCCCAATAATCCCTAAAATCTGAGCCATGCTTCGTGGCTTTCCTGCTTCTCTGATAATGAGCACAGACAAGGACCTACACTGTCCCGTACCCACACATGGGTCACCACAGGGCTCCACGTCCTTCTAGCCGCCATCATCTTAAGCTGCTTTCCCCTTCAATGCTGCCTACCAACCCTCCTTGATGCCCAGAACTCTCTCTGCACTCAGACTGTGCCTTCATTTTAGTTTCAGGCAAAAGAGGAAGCACTGTGGCTGGCTCTTCATAATGCCAGAACTGGAGTGAACCCCAGCAAAGGTGCCTCTCAGCACCACATCCCACCTTTTTCTCAGTTCACTTCCACTTGTCTACTTTTCTACATATTCTAATACCAAAACCCCAGAAGACTGGAGTTTAAAGGCTCTTATGAAGAACAGAAAATTTAGTTCAGACTTCTGTGTCTCCACAGGAGCAATTGTGATCATATGTAAGATGGCCATATAACTTATTCTCCAAACCTTGGCACATCTGAGTTGGTGCACTATTAGAAATCACACTGAGAAAACAGGAGTAAACCCAGACTGTCCTCGACAAACCAACTATGGTCACCACAGTTATGCTTTCCTTTTCTTCCTCTACAGGATCTTAAAGGAATTTTTATTACCAGTTCAATCATTAGGAAACTGTTTATTAAAGTGTACTTGTTCAGGGAAGAATATATTGAAAAAAACAAACCAACAAAAAAAAAAACTATTGTGAAACTCAGTATACCAAAGAGGTGGGATATAACCATCCAATCAACATTAATTAACCCATGGAGTCTTTAGATAAAATCTAAGAACTTCAAATGTTCTCAGAAATTTTGCTAAAATAACACCCAATTTCAGAAATTCGAGGCAAAACAGGTCTGGTCAAAGAAAGAGATCTGAATCCCAAATACGCTGTTATTTAATTGTGTCATCTGTTATTTAATTTAGGCAAATTACATAAACTCTGGGTCCTCTCCACCTCTACCTTCTCACCCTGTCCTCTCTTATAAAATAGGAATGAATTACATGCTAAGATAATCAACCTCCTTTCTCCCTCCATCTTTTATTCCCCTACCTAGAGTTTTTAAAAATCACCAGGGGCCGGGCGCGGTGGCTCACGCCTGTAATCCCAGCACTTTGGGAGGCTGAGGCGGGTGGATCACGAGGTCAAGAGATCGAGACCATCCCTGTCAACACGGTGAAACCCCGTCTCTACTAAAACTACAAAAAATTAGCTGGGCATGGTGACGCGTGCCTGTAATCCCAGCTACTCAGGAGGCTGAGGCAGGCGAATTGCCTGAACCCAGGAGGCGGAGGTTGCGGTGAGCCGAGATCGCGCCATTGCACTCCAGCCTGGGTAAAAAGAGCAAAAAACTCCGTCTCAAAAAAA